GGGATTTTACTAGGTCAGAGTTTGAGGGAGAAGTCATGTTATGACATCACAAACCAATTCAGATGTTGCTCAGCCCTCCTGAGGTGGTATGACACCTTGATAAAAAAAATCCTGCAGACATGAGACATGTTACTGGCAGCGATATGTAGTATGTTTTAATGATATAGACATAGCAGCAATGGTCTGGATAATTATGGAAAACTTTTTTGACTGTAATCTATATTATGGTAAAACAATAATGCAGAGAAATCAGAATGTCACCAGCAGAGTCACACACCAACTGCGCATATGTCCCTCAGGACCCAGGGTGGTAACATTGCCTTAGTTTGCCCATCTAGGAGAGCCTGAGTTTTATTTCATTTATAGTAACAGCATTTATCAAAATACCATGCACGCTTATTCCTCTAAAACATCAGTGTCCTGCTCATGTTATTTCTCAGACTCCCCAAATTTCTATGACTTTTACTTACTCAGAAATGCTTAGTGTGTCCTTGAAAATAAATCAGAGAAATTTACTTTTTCTTTCCTATATAGCAAGAAAAATTAGTAGGCTTATACTATATGTTTCTCATCATGGTCATAATGAAGTAAACCTTGCATTTCAATATATATAGAATGTGTCTACTAAGAATGTTCAAATGGTTCAGCCTATGGCTTAAATTTGAATTCTTCTTGAATGTACATTAAAGCAGATAACGCCAACATTCAGGGAAATTTTAAGGTACGTCTCTTCTGTGGACTTAAAGAGCATGCTGGAGAGCTAGGAATGTGGCTCATTGACAGAGCATTTGCGTGGCATGCACAAGGCACTACTTTCTGTCTCCTTCTCTGAAAATAAATAGATAAAGAAACCACAGAAGAACCATTGCTTCTTGTGCAATGCATTTATTCTTCTCTGTGCTATATACTTTCCACTAAAACTTAGTCTAGTCAGTGTACATGTTGATACCTTCAACCTGGGCTAGAGACATAATTTAGGACAGAAGTGTATGGTAACCTTAGGAGTCTCCCAGAGAATTAGAGGTAGAATCACCCCTGGAAAGAGTTAGATCACAGAGGACAAGGTGGCCACAATGTTAGTAGACAAGATGAGTCAGGGATTAGGGAGTAATCCGTTTGGGCCATTAAATAAAAGCTGCAGGTTCATATAGCTAGGCACATCTTCAGACTTGACAAAGACAGATGTTGGAGTGGGCATGGTAAGCTACTCACAGGCTAAAATCCCCAAAACTTATCTCTTTCTCTTCAATATAGTTATCTGAAAAAATACATTTTAAAGATAAAATGGGTGTGTATGGACATGACATGTTCCAAGAGCCTGCATGCACATGGCATAGCATAAATGTGTGTGTGTGGGGGGGGGGGTAAGAGGTTAACAATAATCTTAGCTGTCTTTCTTTACCTAGTACAAGACAAGAGTTTTTTTGTTGTTCTCTGCTGTGGATGACAGACTATTTGCCCTATGAGCTTCTGAGGGTTCTCTGGTCTCTGTGTCCCAAAGATTTTCCTGATTCTTCACTCTAGAAGCACTGGGGTTCTGGGGATGAGAACTGGGGTTCCCATGCTTATACAGCATGTGCTTTATCCAGCAAGCTATCCCCAACTCGAATTTTTACTCTTTAAAAGAACATGCATTTATTTATTTGTTTGTTTAATGTATATGGGTGTTTTTCTTGCATGGTGTGTATACCATGTGAGCGCCTGGGGCCTGTGGAGGTCAGAGGCAGCATTGAATCCCCTGGTACTGGAGTTGTGGATGGTTGTGAGAGATCATGCAGACTAGAAACTGAACCTGGGTCCTCTTCAAGAGCAGTAAGTATGAAAAAGAGGTAGTCATTGGCTGTTGAATGATGTAGTTTGCTCTACACCTAAAACACCATAATAGATATAAACCCATACATTTTTATATTTGTGTGTGTGTGTGTGTGTGTGTGTGTAACAAAGAGGGGAGTTCACCAGTACATTTTATGTCCCTTACATAATTAGCTCTTTGATAATAGTTTTTTACTATAGCCCCTGTGAAGTAGTTATCTGTCTAGATACTAACCCTAAAATATCTTTAGTAATAATAATGGTAACAATGATGTCATGGGGCTGTCCTTTGCATTGGACAGTATGGTGAGTTTTCTTAATTTAGGCTTTGCCTCTATGGCTTGTTTCTGGGTGTCAGTGCTTTCTTAAGGCTCTGGTATTCTTTAAAAAGGGTGGGTTTTTTTTTTTTTTGGAGTGTGTTGCTCTTGGCTATCCTTCCACAGTAGAATCTTCTCTTGATATTGAAAATTCAGAGATGATCAATAAGTGTTAGAGGACCCTATGAGCCCTTCAAAATCAAATTGGAGTTCTCTCTGGGCTCTCATCAGGGTCTGAATTGATCATCATGGTTGTCAGCTGACAGTTTCTATGATGAGGCAACCTCAAGGATCTGCTCTTAAAATGCTGTAATTCAGAAGTTTAGTTCAGTGCTCTCCCCAGAGCTGTGACGAAGGCTATATGTGTTATGTACCAAGATGCACTTATCAATTAGCACTGACATATTATCAGCGGAGTGAGATTATCTCCTGTACATTTATTGACATATCTGTGTTTATACTATTAGAGAAAAGCCACTTTACATTAGTAAGAACCTTAATTTACTCCATGAGCAAAGTTATGTAACTAGGTATAGGAAATGTGAAAGCAATTTGCAAATATGAAATTACTTTAAGGAGCAAATGTAGAGAATAATGCTATTAAGATTATCATCAAAATTCAATTAAATGTTCACCAGCTTTTAGTTATGAAAAGGGGAGACATACAAGCCTGAAATGCTAGCCAACTGTTAAATATTAATTAATGGAAGCAATGTTTCCTAATTTAGCCCTGAAAGTTGGTAAAGCATCTCAAATAAATGTTGACTGAAAGCAAATTTAAAAATTACCTAGAGTTTCATTTGGCAAGTTTTAGGAACTTGAACTCTCACACATATTTAGTGTTTAAACTTTTTTTTTTTTCCTGCCATGTGCAAAGAGTTTCCTTTTATTTCCTCCTGTTGAAAGAGTTCCTTTCACCCATATATGGCTCTAAAAATACAAACCCTTTTAGAGTGGCTGTTGAAATTATTCACTCTTAGCCTAGAGCTAATTTTGGATTTTTGTCCCTAACAATACCGTCTGGGAAAGTTTCAAGTGAAAATAGGACTGTAGCACACATGTAAAAAAACTCTCTGGTGTTTTCTAAGGGAAACCTCATATAACAGGGGTTGTTATTTTCTTTTTCTGTTTGGCCAAATGTTGCCTATCAGTGTTCACTTTTTAACTCCAAGTGTGGGTCCCGGAGAACTTTGAACACAGTTACTGATTTCAGCGTAGAGCCATATCTGTGCGATGACATCACCTTCCACTCCCTTGCTGGGAACTCACCGTTCTCTGAACTGAAAGTCTGGAGCTAGTGCCAAGGGTTGTCTCACCTGTGAGCACATTTCCCATAAGCCTGGTCAAACCTGCCTGGGCAGCTAATGGGTTTGGGTGGTTATGTCCACCTTTCTGGTTTTGACCTGTTCTAGACTGAGTCTTTGGTCTTCAGACTACAGCCAATGCGGCAGCAAATGACAGTCACACCTTTGGAAGGCTGCCCATCGTTCTCACTTGATTGACCTGTCTGCTGGCAGGGAGGAAAGTACTATCACTGCTTAGCAATAACCTGGAATGGCCAATAAAAGAGACTCTGACCCATGAGAGCCGGAAATTAGACAATTTATTCTGAGCTTGAGGACTCTGTCAAAGGTCCTTGTGTTGGTCTTTCGTCTGCTCCATGATCCTAGGCTGAGCTTCCTAGGGACAGAGACACAGACGATTCTAGAACTTCTGTAGAGACCTCTGCAGTAAAGTGACAAACTATCTTTTTGTCTGGTTTACACTGTTGACTTAGTTTGATAAGCAAAGCAAAAAATGTAAAGAAAATGCAGCATGGCTCCCCTTGTGACAGGATAGTAGGGCCTGCTGCCGCTTGACAGGGACGCTCACACTGGAGAACAATAGCTAATAAAAATAACATCAAACATTTCAAAGACGTTAATCCTCACATTTGCATTGTGGTTTCCCCTTCTTGACAGAATTCTTCAGCAAGTAGGAGACACTCTTTCGTGGGATTCAAAAAATAAAAAATAAAAAGGAGAGGAAAAGAAGGAAAGAACTCAACCCACACAGAAAACAGATGGACACATGAAAAAAACAAATCACATGCCATACATATGATCACTCCCACACACAAGCATGCCTTATACACAAACACACATGTGTACAGGGACACACAGAAGCATCGACACAGGCATAGACAGCTGTCTATGGATGTTTACAACAAATACATAGGTAAGTAGTGACTTCACAGACGCCCATAGACACATCCAGACATATAGACCAACACAGATACATCATACACAGCAACACACACATACATACAAATAAATACATATAGACATAAGAGGATATATATATATATACATATATATGTATATATATATACATATATATATATATATATATATATATGTACACTGAGAGCTCCATGAACATCTAAAGACAGATTTTTACTCTAATAATGCACACTATTAGACATCTGGGACTTTCTTTAATTTCACAAGTAAAAAAAAAAGCATTTCCTATGATAGTATGCAGTTTTGTTTAAAATGTGTTTTTAAGATTCTGAATGGAGGATGAGATCTTTTTCAAGATCTTTCAGTCTTTTATTTTCTCATTGGTGGTATCTTTCCCTTAGTAAAGCCGGACAAAGACAGTGGGAGAGCCACTGGCCTGACACGCCGTGTGGAGCCTGCCCTCTTAGAGCGAGTCAACGCCAAAATAGACAGCAAAGGAAAACTAAATCCAGCTTGAACAATACTGGCCCTAAAATAGCCATGGGGTTTATGACCACAGCAGCAGGAAAGGCTGTTGATCATCTGCCAGGATCTTTTTCTTTTGGTTTGTCACTATTGAGTGACACAGAGGACATGAAGCCTCTGTCAAACATATGAGTTCAGAACCCCAAATCAGAGATACTAATAATAGTGCCTGGTGTAAGGCTGTCTCCTCGGAGAGAACTAACGAGTCCTTTGCCGCTGTGATCTTGAGGTTTCGAAGAGGTATCTCCAGCAGACCTGCTCATAGAAGCGCCCCACAAGGGTTTCTTCGTGTGCTTGCTCCTTCATCCTTCGCAATTCTGTCAGGTAGGCTGGAACTCTCAGGTTACACATAAAGCAAATGAGGCTCAGCAAGGAGCTGACTCGCTTATCCACAGCACCATAGCTAGAAAGTTTCTTCCGGTTTTACGTGCGTATCTGTGTGCCGGGCAGGAGAAAAACTGTCACGTTTGACTGTCAGGCACACTACTAAAAAATATAGATCCAATTGTCATTTTCAAGCTGATAGCGGAATCATGGGTGCAGAGGAAAAAGAGATCAATTGAGTCCAGGATGGCTGCAAAGTAGTTGAGAGAGGCAGAGTAGAATTGGAGTTGAGGAAAGAACACAGAGCAGTAACCAGAAGACAAGCAGAGGCCACGGGAAGTAGAGGCAAGGGAAGAGCTGCGTGAAACTCTTTGCAGTGGTCTACGCTGGCAGGGAGACATGCCATGAGTTCTAGGTTACCATGGATAAGCAGACTTAAGATTGAAGTTAATAGAGTTTTGAAGCTCAGGATTTAAAAAGTCTTTGGAATCCCTTATCTTAACGCACAGGCAACAATCAATGTATGGCAGAGGTCAGTTCTCGGGCTGCAGAACTCTGACCACCAAGCTGAGGGCCTGGAGGGCTAGGACAAAGTGAAGATAATTACAGGATTGAACTGGTTCTGTGTGAGGCAAAGCAGGAAATGAGTAGCCTGGCTGATATTCAGCCTATAAACTTTTGGTAAATCAAAGTATATTCATGGTAGAGTTTGTATTTTTTTTCCATTCTTCATGGGACCCAGAGACACAAACTGTTTTTGATTGCTGGAGAGGGACCACACCATCTCTAAATGGACTGAAATCATAACACTAATTCAAACCTATTTCTCCATTCCAAGTAGAGGGAGCATGATTGGAACTGATCTGTCTATGACAGATCATGGACACATGGTAGGCCATGTCCTGAGGAGGAACTTTTCCCAATAGGGCCATCTCTCTCCCCTAGGATCTTGAGGCTTCCAGTAGCATACAGAACATATCCAAGGGTGTTGAAAGTTACATAGCAACAAATTCTTCAGTGGTGTTTATGGAACTGAAGCCTAGCAACTCATGAAGGAGTCATAGGTACACAGGATCTCGGTGCATGAGACTGACAGTTACGATTGTAACTGATTCAGAAGTGGTCACATGCTACTCACCCAGAAGATAAACCTGGACTGAAAGTACAGGAAAGCAGCCATGCCTGTTTTATTCATATTTTATAACCTATGGCAAACATTTACTTAGCAATTCCACACTGCCTATCACCGTCTTAGACACTTATGTAGAACTTAGAGTCATGCTGAATGCAAATAAGATGTTAATTATTGCAACCCAACGATTCCTGTATCGTTAGATTGTGATGAATTTTTAAGATACACTGGAGGGAGAGATAGAGTCATAATACAATTCTCTATGAGGATTTTGAAAGACTGATCATTAAGATCCATATGCTTCTGTGTTACAGGCAATAAGGTTTCTAAACTGGGAGAAAAGCATAAGTCTTTTGGTCTAAGGTTCCCTTTGCAGCAGGAAAGTCCCTCTTCTGTCTAATAGGATACTTTTTCATTCTGACTCTAGGGGAATATCCCTTGAGTCACCAGGATAGCTTCTTTCAGGTAAGACCTAGCAGATCCCTGAAATGCCTCCCCAGCTACTGAGAATCTAACCCAAGCCTGCTGAGGATGACATTAAGCAGGTCTGATTAGAAGGCTAAATCCTGCCAGTTCCACTCTCTGCAGGGATGTTGTCTGAGCCCTGAACAACGTTTCCTGGATGGTAGAAACAGGGACGTGGTTTGGAATCTCCAACAGCTCAACAACAGCTTGGAAAAATAGTAGCGGTGAGAAGACAATAGATAGCCATCTTGGCTTGAAGACGATGACTCATGCAGATGAATCATTTACAGTCAGCTTGGTGGGTCTCAGGAGGACCACGTTCTCAGCTCGGAGAACTCTGCGCACCCTGAGCCTCTGACCAAGTCAACAACGCCAACTCCCTTTTGTGATTCTAGGAAAAGAATCTCAGAACCTTTCGATGAAGAAATCAGAGAGGAGTGTGGCTGCTGTGTGCAAGTGGGGTGGAAGCAGGAGAGATTAAATAGTCACTCGGGCAAAACCAGGCAGCTTCCGGGCCTTACCTGTCTCAATTCCGATGTTCTCCGGCACTGGGGCACAGAGCTCAGCACGTGGGAAAACACTCTGCACTGGCGTGAACACCTTGGTGACCTGAGTAAATTATGAATTCCCAAGGCAGAATTAGTGTCATGAGTGTGACTGGGCAAACATTCGTTCTCCCTCCTATTAGTTATAGCATAAATAATACACAAGCAGCAGGCAGAGCCAAAGCTGTTTGCTGTAAGTTTCCTTTTTGGTATTAAAACGATGAGTGTATTTTCCTTAAGAACCTTCTAGCAACATGTACAAATAAAGCCACACACAGTGACAAACTGTGCTGCTTGGAGTTTAGCTGATGACATTCTTGTTATTGAAACAGGAAATGACTCAGCCTCAGGCAGACCAGAGAGGATCATATATTTTATTCTTTTTTTGTTGGCTCATTTAGAAAAGAAAGAAAGAAAGAAAGAAAGGTCATCACAAGACAACTATGTTCATTTCCCAAATAATACATTTTCTTTGGAGAGGAAAAAAGAAAGCAATATGAAGGTTAATGTTTTCAGATTTTTAATTTACCCATTCTACCAAATAAGAAAGAATTTCTTGATAAGCTATTTTTAAAATATTGCAAAATATTTTAGGCTTTTCCCAAATGTTAGGGTCAAATGACTGTTTTAAGCTACAGAAGATATGTTTAACATTTTTAAAGGGTGTGGGTTCTGGTGTTGGAGTCCAGCTATAAACCTCTCAGCACGGAATGCTAATGCCCCTGCAGTTAACTGAAACAGCTTCTTGGTTTAGATAAACTTTAAAAAAATGTAATTAAAATATATTACATCTCTCTTTTCATTTCCTCCCTTAAATCTTCCTGTGCTCCGCAAAGCCCGTTCAAATTAATAACCTCTTTTCCTTATTGTTGCTGTTGTTACATATATGTGTGTGCACAATGCGTAAATGCAATATTAAGTAAACTTTTCAGCACATTACAAAGTTTGATTTACATCCTGCTTTTTTCTTTTTTTTCTTTTTTAATTATAAACAGGGCTAATCTGAATTTCATCTTTGTCTACTAAAACTTTGGGGCTGTGATAATTGCTAATCAAAATCAATTAAACAAACACAAAATAAGTGAACATAAATTAAGCACTTTATAAATTTCTATACACATCACTGAAATATTTCAGCTATTGAACACTAATAGTAGTAATAACTAAGATAATGGTTATAGAACAATGCTTTTAACTCTGAAATATTAACTACTCTGCATTCAATAATTGGCAGAGAGTACTAATTCACCCACTCCGAGCTCAGATGACTCAAACAGAAAGGCTTTCCGGTCTGTGAATCTAGATGTGTGACATCTCTTGCCAATCATTGGCTTTCTTGGTCAGATCAATCTCCACCCAATACATCATTTGGGGGGGAGGGGCATGGTGACTGTTACCGTTGGATGCTGTCTTAGAACTTGAAACCGCAGCATGTCATGGCTTTGGCCTCTTTGTACATACAGATAAAGCCGGCTTCTGAAGGCAGCAAATGGGGAAGACTCAAGCTCAGACTCAGAGCACACACAGTTGGCTCCTGCCTTGTTCTTTGTGAATGCACCCACCTCCTTTTAACAGCCAGCTGAAGTGCAGTCTGCTCAGAGATTAGAAAGCTATGGGGAAGAAAAAAAAAAAAAAAGATTTTCCATCCCTACATCTCAGAATGAAGTTTCCATCTGTAATTGTTAGTTTTTAATTTTTAAATAGTGAACAAAGAAACAGAATGTCTCATTATCTGTGAAGTGATTCAGGCGTTCACTGTGTACAGCTCTGTCACTAGAAACACAACAGTCATTTTTCTCTGGGGGGAGGGGCAGAACTTAGAAAGACAGTTCCTTTTTTTTCTTCTTCCTTTCAGCTAACTCCGTATTGCCAGTTATCTGCTGTGTCCATGCTCCGCATAGATCTAATTTAGGTATTAAAAAAACATGCTCTAGACATATTCCTGGATTGCCAGCTATGCAAACATGTGGTTGCAACACTCCCTTTTAAATCTCAAGCTGATTATTTCTATATATGTGTAAAGATTTTCCTAATGTGTGGTTTGTGATGCCTGTGAGCCTATTCAGGAAAACCACAGTGCCTAACGTGTCCTCCGTGTTATTTTCCCTAGGACACGAAAAGGCCTTTGCAATTTTCAATTTTTGAGATGGCAGCTTTTCAGAGCCCTGTGCTTTCTTGTGCTCTGCCATGAAATGTTTTACCTTAGTGATTTAAGAAAGGATCTCTCTACTCCTCCACCTGGTGAGGCTTTCTGACTCTTGAGACTGACTTGTGATATCTCACCACAGACACTGAAGTCATTGTGGTGAGGTGCACAGTTCCGCAGAGGCTCAGTCACACCTTAATATTTTCACGCTGCCATGACAACAGGCTAGTTTTGAGAAGTATCCTTTTGGGTTGAAGGCATCAGACAGTTCTAGGTTTTAACTCCTAATGAGACCAAGCATTTGAACAAGATAACCTTTGTAAGCAGTGAAAAATATCACACCAACAAGAGGATTTTTCTCTCAATTGCACAGTATCTGAGCAATTTTAACAAAAATATTTCTTAGTTTGTCAGTTTCTTAAAGTAATGCCTAGAAGCAGTATTAGGACATAGCCTGTGTTTATGAACCTGCTAATCACAAAAACATAAGACCTTATTTGGAAAGTAAATCCGAAGACTTTCCTTCAGTCCATAATTTGCCTTTACTCAGCTACAAATTCCAGCATCCCACGGAATCCATTGCAATAGCCAGCAGTCCCCACAATGTGTGTATGTCTCCATTTGTGTGTCTCTGTGTGAATGTCTAAACTTGCGAATGTGTCTTTGTGTGCATCCCTACTCCCATCTGAAGCTTTTCATGCTGAGAAACCAAGAACTCATAGAGGGAAATTTGTATCTGTGATCAGGTAGGATAAACAAGTTCTAGATTCAATGGAGATCTGGGGGAACTGCAGCAAGTAGAACCATGCAATAAGAGTTCCAGTCAACTGGGACCAGTGCAAAGAGGGACACATCAATATTCCTATGTCTGTTAGTTGTTTGAAAGACAAGAGATTACCTGGTATATTTATAACAAAGAAGACACAGAAATGTAAAACGAAAAAAAAAAAAACAACAACAACAACAAAAAAAAAACCCAGTACCCAGCCTTTAACAACTGCCCCTGCTTTCTTTCTCCCACGCCCCTTACTACCACTTGTCATCAAAGTAGGGAAAACATATCTCAGGGATCTTCCTGTAGGATAATTCAGCATTTATCACCGTCCTTTTTTTATCTTTTGTGTTTTCCCCCCAATCTCTACCCTCCCCCACCTGTGTTTCTCCCTCTCATCCTTAGATCATACTCTTCTCTTTATGTCTCTGTCTCTGCCTGCCTCTCTCTCTCTTTCTGTCTCTCTCCCTCCCCCCTCTCTCAGTGTGTGTGTGTGTGTATGCATGCATGTGCTGTGTGTGAGTATGTGCATGCATGTCAGTGTGCAGGTGCCGCAGCCAGAGGAAGGTACTAGATGATTTCTTCTATTATCTTTTCACCTTGTCACCTTGATACAACGTCTCTTATTGAACTGAAAAGCTCCTATTGGGGGCTAAGTTGGCTGACCAGTAAGTGTTCCAGATCCACCTGTCTCCACCTACCGAAGCTAAGGTCATAGGCACAAGTAGTCATACTTGGTTTTAATATATGTGCAAGAGATTCAAAGTAAAATCCTGGTGCTTGCAGAGAAAGCTCTTAGCCACGGAGCTATCTCTGTAGCCTGTTCTGTCCCCCTACCCTACAAAAGATTCGTATTTGGTAGAATGATAATGATTAGCTAAGTCATCTTATTATCCCATTTGATCCTCATGAATTCCTATCAGGTAAGTAAGTCTCTATCAGAAACTCAGAAATGTGAAAAACTGGGTCTGTGTTGAGGGAGGTGGTTAAATCAGAGACCAGTCCCCCAAACCACGTTTATTTCCTTTTAATGACATCAAATGACAATAAATAATGACACCAGTTTAAAATCTTGTGTTTAAGCTCCATATACAAATGGTGGAGACAGGCGTGTGCTCAATGCTGGACCACATATACTAGCCTTGAGTTCTTTAACAATAAATAGGAAACGATAAAGCCACCCCGTCTGTTCCTGTGAAACTCCTTCTGGGAAATGAGCCTAAATCTTTCATCTCAGTCATGCCAAGGAATCCTGGGACGATGAAGCAGAGCCACAACTCACTATCAGATTAACTCCTGGAATGCAAACTTTGCCTCTGATTTGGAAATGACCAGGCAACTTCAGACCGACTGCATTTTTATGCCATGGACGACAGAGGACTGCAAAGGTGTCCTGTTTGTGTTCAGTGACAAGGGAGCAGCAGGAACATTTAGTAAAAACAGAACAGACTGAAGTGTACACTTCATCAGTGTAGACAAAGGGCCCAGCTTGTGGTTGGTCCATTCACCCAAACTTACACAGGAAGTGAATCTTGGAGGATATTCTAGGAAAAATATGTCAGTCCTTCTGGGAAGGTGAATCTTCTACAGGAGTCCCTGTGTGGATTGGAATGTTCTATGCACTTTATTAGATCAGCAAAATGGCAAACAAGAGTAGGGTAGAAATACATAGGAAACAAGGGGACTTTGAAGTTCTTTGAACTCTCCAGGGGATCTTGACAGGGGATATCTCTTACTTCAGACCCATGGACAACTGCAACACATTAAAACAAAAGATGCTTCCAAATGCACACTTTTGGCATATTTTAGAGAATTTATTTTTTCTAAGAAGTCTCATTGATGTCTTCATGACCTCTTTAAAGCTTATAGCTGAAGTTGCTACCAATCAATCAAAGTAACATACCGATTGTATGTACATACTTGATGGGTATAAAATCCATAACAATCTTTTAAAGTAAAGGGCAAAAGAGGAACTTTTTATCACTTGGTGTTACATCCTGCACACACTTCCTGCCAGATAATAACATGCTTTGATTTTATCTGACACCTCATATTTTGTTTTACACAAATGTCACCTCAATGAAGAGAACTTTTATATTGCTCTAAGGTGGTTTTCTTCAAGATCTCTGCCCATCATTCCCCATCCTGTGACCCTTGACATGTCCTCATCTAAGACAGTGTTGGTTTGCACACACCACTCCTCACATATATGTAGCTTTGGTCATTGTTATTTCCCAAAGATACAAGTAGATATTTATCTTACAATAAAAAATATGCTTTCCTTTAAACATTCCTGATGATTTTGAATAAGAGGAATGGACATATTTACAGGTAGAAATGTGTTGCTAGATAGACGGTGCAAACTTCTGAGTCATTTGATTTTATGCTTATATGTTGTAGAAATGAGAAACTTGATCTTCTGAACTGAGCAAGGTTGACTATCTCTTTTATTCAGGTGCAAACATTTTTGTTCCAAGAAAAGGATCACAAAAATTTGGTTCATGTATGTTCATGAGGAATCATTAATGTAACATCATTGGGTCCAGGAAGTTCATTTCAGGTCCCTCTTAAAATACTAACCATAGTTAAAAGTAATTCTTTTCATTCTGTATACTTCTTGTTATTTCTCTCATATTCTATCTTGTCATCTTCTGTTGGTGTTTCTTTCTTTCACCTTAAACTTAACAGACCTTTTTATCCCAACAACAATAAAACAGATGTCCAAGAAGAAAATCTGTCTATCATTTGCACAATAAAACTAAAACCACAAGCAAATACATTTCTGGGGGCTTTGAATTTATTTCTAAGTGAAACTCAATTTATCGTATTTAATCTGAAAGACAAGAATGGTGATTTTTGTGTCACTCTTCTCTAAATTCCATTACAATAAAAACACATCATTCCAGAAGGGAGACATAACAGGGATAAAAAAAATAAGGACTCTTCAACAAACACCAGCTTTCAGCAAGTTCTAGAAAACAGAATGTGAACTATAATGGATCACACAAGATGAGCAAGCAGGGAGGGAAGTCTGTCACCTGGATGCCCCTGGAAGTGAACACCCTGGGGACAGAAAATAGTTCAGTTAGTAAAGGTGCTTATAGACAAACAGCACATGCTGAATTGCACACCCAAGGATCAGCTCCTGCAAGTTGTCCTTTGACCTCAAAGAACAAGTGCTGTCGCATCTATGTGCCCTTCCTCCACTAAATAGATACTATAAAACTTCAAAAACATAAATTCTGTGTGGAAGAAAGGAAAGGGAGCAAATGAAGTAAAATCACAAATGGATTGAAAAATACAGTTTTATCCTACCTGAGTCTTAATGACAGACAAAACTCTGAAGTCTTGTATTAACCTACAAATGAACTCACTGTCCACATGTACACACAGTCATTTATGGTTTCATTCATTCAAGAAGAACGAATACAGAAGCTAGAAGAGCCCAGGCATAATTGAAAACACAGATTCTGATAAGAATATATGGGACAGACAACAGATGTATGCAACACCTACCCAGCAGCACAGTACAGTACAATGTGATACAAGTCTTTACATGTTATAGGCATTGTCAGAATACATACATATGTTTGCTTATCTTCTGTTTATTTTTAAAATTTTAAACTTATGCGTATGAGCATGTGTCTAAGTGTGAGTGTGTGCACTTAAGGGAAGATGCCAATAGACATTGAAAGAGAGAGGATCAGTTACCCTGGAGCTGGAGTCAGATACATTTATAGAATGCCTGTAACGTGAGTACCGAGAATGTAATTGGTCCACTGCAGAAGCAATAGTGCTCTCAATCACTGAACCATCTCTTCTCAAGCCCTGATTTTTTTTAAAGCATATTGAGCATGTGTACCTGTTTAACACCCAGAGACAATTTGCTCTATCTATTTTATAGAATTTAATTTCTTTGGAAAATTCCCAGTGTTTGCTAACTTTTTAGAAGGTATTATTGATACTTCATTTTTTAAAACATATAAGACATGTTAAAACAAGACTAAAAGTACTTACCAGAAAACACAGCTATAACTTAGTCATTTACAAGTATATGCCAACGTGTAGCAATACTCTTATTGCTACCTCTTAAAATCACCATGCCTGGCAAATGTTGAATTCTTTCTCAAAAATGTGTGTGTGTCGGGGAGGCATACATGCCTACTGTCCTTGTGTGTTTACATATATATGAAAATTAAAAGTCAACTTTTAACGCCTTCCTCAAGCACACTCAATGTTATTATTTGAGACAGGGTCTCTCGCCGAATCTGGAGCTCACCTGTTATGTTAGACTAGTTGGCCAGCAAGCCCCAATGAGCCTCCTATTCAACCTCCCTAATGGTGAGATTACAGGCATGAGTCACAGCAGTGAGTCTTTATAGATGTATGCTTGGGATTTGAACTCAGGTCCTCGCGTTTGCACAGCAAGCACTTACTGACTAAGGCATCTTCCCAGTCCTTCTTTCTGAATGTCAAAGCATGTCCCCTTTAAACACAGCAGTTCTCGCTTCATCAGCAAGGATTCAGCCTATGTTCATTATTCTGAGGGGGCAAGTGGGCATTTGTAGGAAGTTAAATGCACAGGCTTTCAGTATGCCAGTCATCTGATGGGGACCCTGGCTACTCTCAGTGCAAACGAATCTACATCCAGACACAGAACATGCTGAACCCTTGGAGAGGTCCCTCGGGCCCCTTCCAAGTCAGTTGGCAGCCTGACCACCATAAGGAGCTGGCCCGGTAGTTCAGTTCACCAAATATGAGCTGTGTTTCTTGTAGACTTGGGCTTTGAGTTTTGTAGGAAGCAATCAGGCACGCAAAGCTCCCTTTTCTGATGTTTCTGAAACACACTCTCAGAACCCTTTCAGAACATGGTTGCTTGTGTTTGCTGGAATAGTCAGCCTGTCTTATGGGACATGTGATCCTGCCATGGAATCACCGTGACTCCTCTTTATTTTTGTATTATAAATATGAGCAATAGTATCCTCTTTGGGGACATATTCATTCAATTCTTTTGGTTAAGTTTTTGAAAGATGAAAACACAGGATGAGAAACTAAGCGCATGTTCCATTTGACCTAAAATGGCCAGAACTTTTCCAAAGAGACTGTAGCATATTTTTTGTACCCTCACCAAGAGCACTAGAAAGGGCTGGCCACTCACAAAACACTTTCTCCAACTTTGGTGTTGGTGTTAGTCTTCTTTTAACCAATTCGGTTGATTTTGCTTCATAATTCCCTGGTCAGGAAAGCTGTTGACCATTTTTTAAATATACTTCATTAAAGTATATTTGCAAATGTTTTGACTACTTTTTATATATAATCTATTTTTGACTGGCATATGTCATGTGTATATCTTGGACACTTGTTTAACTTTAAATGCACATTTTAAGAATAGTTTCTTCTCGGTAGACTATTCTCTATTTATTTACTATTGTCTTCAGATAAAGTTTCAATTTTTGATGAAATCTAAATCCATTAAAATTAATTTTCTTGGTGTTCTTGCTTTCTGTTTCCACCCAAGGAGGTGCTGCTCATGCTCCAAATCATTGATTATTTCCATTTGCCATCCCTTTTGGGGAGATTCTGATTTAATTACTTTCCTTTAATTCTGTAATGTATCTGCAATGTGCCTATGGCCTGAGGTAGGCCATGTCTCTTTTTTCCCCCTTTTCTCTCTCTCTCACTTCTCTTACTGTTTGCTTTCTCAGCCTGGTACGTGTTTTCAGGAGTCCAGCCTTCACTGCTTGGTGGCTTTCCTCCCCTGTCGGACTTCTGGAGTCCCACTCTTAACAACCGAGGACAATCACAAAGCAAAGTTGTTCCCACCCTGATAACAAGACAAAGTCGGGTAGTTTGTAATTTTTCTTTAACTTACTCCAGCACGCCGGTCAGAAAGCCCTTACATGACTTGAATCGGGCAGGGAAGGTGGCTTTGATAAAGTTAGGAGAAGTTAGCCACTACAGACAGAAACAGTGTACACAGTAAGAACTCCTTAATGGCTGCGTTTGGACTAGCAGGGATAAACAGGATTCCATTCTGACATTCCGGCTCTTCTCCACCTGCCACCACCAGGTGCTCAAAGGAGGGGAAGGGTAAGAAAGGTGGCAGACCAAAGGGCTCCAGCCCCAAGCCCACATGCACAGAGATGACCTAAAGCCAGATGGATAGACATACCCTCCTGCCCCTAGGAGTCTGCTCTCTTTTCTGCTCCCCACCCTGTCTCCAACCACGGTAGGAATGCAGGAGTTGGGAAATGTGAGCTAGACATACCCTAGAAAAGGAGCGCAAACAAACCCAGGCGCCCACAACCCTCTAATAAACATAGGCAGCCACAGGCTCTTGTGAAGTGAGCAGTGTTAATGTTTCATCTCATTATTGTTTTTACAAATAGGGCTACTAAAACAAATATTATGTTTACATATGTATACAAATACATACACACATACAGACAATTGTATGTAGACAGATATACAAACAAGTAATCACAAACACATACAGACACGCAGACATACACAGATATTCACAGACATGTACACATTTGCATATATAGAGATATAAACACACAAACACTAGACATAAATGCACGCACGCTCCCCTGCTAATCCTGGAGCCCTTCCAGTCCTTGTACGCAGCACACTCATATGGCAACAAAGCTGAACATTGACTAAAACCACCAGGAAGACACTTTCCTTCATTAGCTGTCTCAGTACTAACAGTTATTTTCAAGAGTGAAAGTTTAAATTTCAACAAATAAAACATTTGCAAGGCCTTACCTATCACATCATGTAGTAACTGAACTTCAGTTTTTCAGTTTCAATGGAAAATTCATTGCTTTTTGAGAGAGAAATGCATGAAGAAGAGGCAACTCATCCTTTTGAACAGAACTGTCTGCACGCAAAATCGTAGATGAAGATGAACATCTGAACTCAAAGCACCTATCAGGCAACAACTCACACGTACTTTTCAAAAAGTGGCATTTTACAGAGTAACTCGAGGAAACAATGAAAGGAAATGTGAATTCGTTTTCTGTGGGGGAGGTGATACATTGTTAAAGACGCCCAAACAAACAAAACAGGCTCTTTGGCTGTGCATGAGAATATTCTTTGCCCATATAATTAGGAGGCGGTATTGCAATTACTGTTGACTAGATTTGTCAGACTCCGTTTGAATTCTCTAGAAAAACCAGAAGGTCAAAACCTAGTTACCATCTCCTGATTTCCAAGCTGAAAGCCCTGTCTAATTACAAACTTCACTTTAAACCATTGGTTTCGCCGCTAAACGCAAAGAAGGGAACTCCATGGTGAGAAATGAAGGAGTGTGGCTTGAAAGCATAGGAGACAGAAGTAGAAAAGGATGTGGAGACGGTGGGCCTGTGAGGAAATAGCCCAGAGTGCCAGGGAGGCTGAGCCCCTAGCATTCGGGAACACGCCCCCACACAGACTGGTTTGTGGGAGACGTGGGCAGATGAGGGTGGCTGAGAAGAGGTTCACCCTCCAGTAGTCCATCACTTATGAGGATGGGGGTGAGAGGGGAGAGCAGAGCTTTTCAGCTGTGACATAATAAGCTCCTACTGGAGGAACTGCACAGCCCCGGGCCCAAATTGGCTTCTTATCTGCCGTTGGATCCGCAGAGTGCGGTTTTTTTTTTTACTGCTTCATCTGCCATAAGTATCAAGAGCAAAGTTGACAAAGGAGCGCGTGAAGATCGCCTTCAATTTAGAGCATTTACAGACTGAGGGTTTTAATACCACATGAATTTGGATATGCTGACTTTTTTTTTTCCATCACACCCCCACTCCAGCCCCCTGCCCAGTGCTCCCGAGATTGGTATGCATGACAGTAGACCACGGCAAGGGCCCCCACTCATGCTACCAGAACCTTCTCTCAATAGAAGCAAAAGCTGCTGAAAGTCAGGGTTTCCCCACTTAATCCCAAACCCTATAGCTAGCAATCAGTTTTCATGCCTAGCCAAAAGAGAAGAAACTCACTTCTGATGACCACCTTTCCTTTAGTACATACCAGGAAGTTCAGCTATTGGGGGAAGGGACAGGAAGGCTTAGAAGGCCCAGAGCTCTCATGCTTAGTGGCCATGAAATCAGATCTGAGTTCATACCCTCCTGCCCCTAAGAGCCTCCTCTCTTCCCTGCTTTCCACCTTGCCTCCAGCCACAGCAGGAATGCAGGAATTGGGAGATGAGTACACTAGAAAAGAAGCACAAAACTAGGCACTGGGGATCCCCTAATAGACAGAGACAGTCGCAGTTAAGAAGCCCCTGTTCAGTGTTTGGGGAGCACACTCTCGGCACTATGATTGCCGGGTAAGCCCTCTACCACTGCGGTATCCTCAACCCTTTTCTTACTTTTCTTTTTTAACGTTGTTTAAGATTTTTGAAATGGCCTCAACAAGATTCCCAGGCCACCCTTGAATTCACACTGTGGAGCAGGCAAGCCCTGCTCTTGTAATCCTTTTGCCTCAGTCTCTCAAACAGCTGATATTCTACGGATATTTCCATCAGGTCAGACTGAATCTTTTTTTTCTCTTCAGATATAGTGACCAAACCTACAGCACAAATACGGAGAGTTTCAAGTCATGCTTTTCTTCCCTTCCCTACTTCCCCGTCTGAAGGTCTCTGACCTCTGTCATTCTGTTCATCTTTTTAAAAAAAATCAAATAGTATCTGTATTATTCGGATCTCATGGATAATCCGTCTTACATACAAAGCCGAGACAATTTTTCTCATCAGTACATGCTCAGGAGTGCAAATGCCTTTCATTCACAACGTCTTTGGAGCCCTGCCCCTTCCCCAGCTATGATACGGACTTTTGCCTGCTTTGTAAATGTACGTGCGTCTGGCCCGGCACAGGATGGGAATGATATGTCCTGATGGCCTCGTGGGAGAAGCAGGAAGTCACAGAGTTTACTCTACTTGGAATTCAGTCTCTGAATGCACTACTTTACTTTTACACTAATTAAGGTTTCTGAAAGTCACAGTTTTGATTGTATCTCCATTATGCCCAATTAAATTCACTCTTGCAAAAATAAACTATGCAAATATTCTATTTAACCGGTCGTGCTTGTAAGAGACAGGGAGAAATTTTTACATTCTATAGGAATGTAAGGGAATGTGTTAAAATGATGACTAATTCTCTACCCAACAAGGGAAGTTTCAGTATCTTCATGAGGACACCCCTAAGGAATTACAGTCTCCTCCAGGCTTTACTGAGGCCTTCACTTTGTCAGTGTCTGGTACTTTCCCCTAATCCTTTACCGTGTGTACTGTCACGTTGGCTTTCATTCATAGATTTGATCTGATTCTTGCTTCCTTTGTTAATTCCAAAGGCACACGCTTGCTGCTAGGTATAAAGCTCTAGCCCCGTATAAGGACTTGGCTGGGAAGTTAGTTCAACCTATGCACATGTGTCCTAAAGCCATTTCCATTTCCTTCCTGGAAACAAAATATAAGCACATAACACAGAGAGGGACAGGCTGTCACTAGGGTAAACGGGAGGAATGAAGGTCAGTGGTCACCTTCGTGTTGTTCATACAATAGGCATTTTTTGGAAAAGATGACTTTTCCCAATTTAGCAATCGTAAGTATGGCCGTCTAAGCCCCTTCAAGCAAGCATCTATTCTAGACTTCTAAGATTAAATATGAAAATGTAAAAAATCTTCTAAAATTATTTACATATTTTACAACGTTTAAAAGGGTATTATTCATTAAATAGTACTTTTTAAGTTGTCATAATTAGTTTTTTACTCAAAAATTTTAGTTGCTCAGTCTTCATTTTTTTTTAATGAACATCATGGTGTGCTTTAGGAGACAATTTATTTGAAAAAAATTAATGTCAGCTTCAGCTTCATTTAAATTGTTTACACATCCGCGGGAAAGTCTGTTAACCATGGTGAGGCATCTTGGAGACTGCCTTCTACAAGATAAACAGATTTCTACCCCATTAGCAGTAGAGTGAGAGTTGTGTGTCAAGCAAAAGGGCATTTTTAACCTGGAGATGCCCAGCTCTCCACCTTGGGGTGGTGCCAGATCATCTATGTGAGCTTGCTAAAACACTACTGGGCTGTTTGGATGCTAAGAGCAGCGCTCGCAACTTCCAATAGGTAAAATTCATTCCAGAGAATCTGAGTGTATGTATCTAACCCACGGGTCAGGTAGAGCAATTTCAGGGTGCTCCGGCGTTTTCCCCTCTACCTGAGTAGGAAGTGGGAGTACTTTGGAGAACGTGTGGGTCTCAGGCTCCCTTCATCCTCCGTCCCAGGGATTCGGACAGAAATTAACATACAGTGACTCTAGGGCACCAAGTGCCACTGCGGTTGGGACCTTCGCTACACAGGGATCCGCGGGCCTGTTTGTGCCCACTCCGGGTCATTTCAGCATCTCTGAGTACGGAGAGGATTCGAGACAAAGAGAGAAATCAGGGGACGAAGGAGAATGGAGGCTCAGGGCAAGATCCGGGGACACGGATACAAGAGAACAAGGGACCCAGAAAAGTGGAAGGAGGGGACCGGGCGGATATCAGCTTCCTTGTTTTGCTGGGTCCCGGTCCGGGTGATGGGAACAGAAGGTGGAACCGGGCGGCCGGGCGGCGGGGACAGGTGCTGGATTGCCCCGGCTAGGTTCCCCTAGCTCCGGCCACAGATTTGCGGCGTTCTGCCGTACACCTCCCAGCACCGACTCCTTCGGCGCGCCGTAGCCCTCGCCATATATACCCTGCTAAAAATAGCTTGCGAGACGTCTTTCCAATCAGCGCAGGCCGAGTTCGAATTGCACCAATAGAGAGATCTGTAATGGAGAGGCTCGGTCACGCCAGGCGGGGCCGCTCTGTGTCCGCACCGGCGATTGGTACGAGCTGACATCATCGTCGCGCAGCCCCCGGGACAGGCGCGGCCGGATTGGGTATCACTGGGGGCGGAGCTCCAAGCTGGTCACGTGGGGGGAGGAGGAGTGGGGGGAGCCAAGCGGGGGAGGAGGGGGGTGGCTGGCAGCGGAGCTTTGAATAGGGAAGTTTTGCAGGGGTTACGCTTGCAGTCAGTCCGCTGTTTGCAAATATTGCGTGGGCTCGGCGCGCTGCGGGCTGCGGGAGGGTCCGGACCCGGCGTCCGATTGCAGCGCCATCCAGTTTGCATGAAACTTTCACCTGCGCTCCCGGGGACAGTTTCTGCTTCGACTGCTGATCGCTCTCCTCCCTGTTTTCCCGACAGCGGGGACTGTCTTTTCCAACCCGACATGGATGTGCTCCCAATGTGTAGCATCTTCCAGGAACTACAGATTGTGCACGAAACGGGCTACTTCTCGGCTCTGCCGTCCCTGGAGGAATATTGGCAACAGGTAAATACGGATTTTTTTTTTTCACGTGCCCGGTGCGCCGAGGAGGGAGTCTCGCGGAGGCGCAGGCAAGATGGTGTGTGCTTGGAAGTGCATCTTTTTAATGATGATTAGCGTTTGCCTAATTAAAAAATAAAATAATGATCTTAAGATGTCCTTCTGCTGCCTGGAGTGATGAAGGCACTCTAAAGCGAGCCTTCGGCAGCGAGGACTAGAGTTGTCATTTGTGTGGAGGCGAGCTCTTGTTCCCGGAACGGTTTTTTTTTTTTTAATTTCTTTATTTTTTTTTTCTTTTTTGCTAATTCCAAGCTTCCGAGAAGCATCCACCTGAGGGGAGGGAACCCCAAATTCCACTGCCCGATCCAAACCGGAGCCGCTGGCACAAGTTTGGGGCTTGTACCAGCTCCAAACTCCACAGCTGGACTTTGTCATATGAACGAGCTTGCCTTTACTGCCAAAAGATTTGATTTAAGAATTTTGTTTTTGTTTTGATGTTTGAACATTCAGTTTTTTTTAATCTAATATTTTGTCTGCGGAACACAGCAGCAGCCTTTTTTTTTTAATCCTTTTTTTTTTAAACTCAAGGCCATTTTCAGTTTCTTTTCCTTCTGGATAATTTCTTAGCATTCGGCAAT